GGAGAAAGAGAGGCAGCAACAACAACACACGAAGAAAGAAGAAGAATGAGGCGACATAAGTAGGTTGTGATGAAAAAGAGCATCAGGGCGGAGATGAGGTAGCGACACAACGCAAAAATGGTGCTCACTTTGGCCCTGAAAATTGATTCAACACCTTGAGCCTCTTGTTCTTCTCCATTAATCGAGACCTTCACATTAGCACATTTAAGAAAAATCGAGAACAATCATTTTTGATTAAAATCGATTTGCAAGTCTAGAATCTCAAAATAAAATTTATGAAAAAAGAATGAGCAGCAGGAGATCGATTGTAGATTGATTTACAAGTCTTGATAACAAGTTGCAGGTTTTGTAGATGCACTAAAGGATAAAAGATGAAGGTTGGGGTGATGGTTTTGGAAGTGTATGGTGGTGACGGCTCAATTAGGGTTTAAAGGTTTGAAATTTGTATTTAGAGAGTGAGAGGAAGAAGGATACACGAGTGAGAGATAGAGAGAGCGGCAGAGAGAGATTCCAACAACTTGACAAAAATAGGTTAACTTGTAATGACCATATTACCCTTTAGAGTATTAAAAATTTACAATCTCATCCCATGACTTTTAGAAATTTACAACTTCATCTCATGATTTTTATAAATTATATTAGCCTTAGATCGTAATATTTGAAGAGCTCAGATTTGTTCTCGTGTTCTCAACCTTTTTGGTGTTCTCATTTGATCCTACTCACACACACACACACACACACACACACACACACACACACATATATATATATATATATATATATATATATATATATATATATATATATATATATATATATATATATATGGCTGAGTTACTGTGAGAACTAAAAAAAACGTGTGAACTAACGAACTCATAATCAACTCATCATTTTTCAAAAATAAAAACGCCAATCTTCTCCAAATGGTGTGTCTAAGCCATATCTTTTTTTTGTTATATATATATATATATATATATATATATATATATATATATATATATATATATATATATATATATATATATATAATTTTAACGGGGCCCGTGCATGGGGTTTCGGGACGAGACTACCTACCCTTGTCCCCGCCCTCGCCCCCAAAATTAAAACGGAGGTTAACATTGCCCCCACCCCGTCCCTGCCCCCGATTTTTTTAACAAATATCCCTATATGGGATCGGGGCCCCACAAGACTTTTTGACATCCCTAGTTGAAGGTAAATAATGATTAAAATTGTTAATTTTAGATAAGGATAGTAGATTTACAAACAAAATTTCCAATGTTGTGTATAAGGATGTTTTAGAAATTTATAACAATTTGTAGTCTTTAATTTGTAATTTATTGTATTGCGTTATTTTTATATTTATTACATTTATTTTATTTTTATTGTTTCTTATATCAATGTTATTTCCATTATTGATTGCGATTTTATTACACTCGATTTGAATTTATATTCTGTTTTATAAATCATCATTGTCTTTACATACGTAACGTATATCAGATATTCAAATAAAAATATATATTAATTTTAAATAATCAATACAAAAAAAAACTTTAATCTTATTAATAGTATATATGTTTTATAAATCTTTTTCCCGTGGTTCCATAACCTAGTAAATAAATAAAATTTAAATATTATCATATGGTTATAGCAAACTGTTTTAATTTGAAGCCTTCTATCCTAATGTTATAGGGAGTGGTAACACTCTAACACCTTTTCACGTAAGATTTTGGAGTGCTACCTCATTTTTGAACATTTAGTATTTAATCTTAGCATTTGGTAGGGAGTGGTAATAGTCCTAGCACTCCATTATTTTTTGATTTTTCTTTTTCTAATTTAATTAAATTACTTTATTTTAATAAAGAAACATTTTTTGTGCGTAAATATTAAACAAATTTTATTTTTTTAAACCACAAATGAATTTGTTTTGTAACAATATTACATTCAAAACAATCACCAATCACCATCACTTTGACTACCGCCTCCACTGTTCCACCATTTTTACCGGCCACTACCAAGTTCTTCAAAGTCTACACACACCATTGGACCACAATCATCAGTGTCGGACCACCGACTTCTCTGTTCTCCTCCAAACTCAATCTCTTAGGTCATTTTCGGCTGATAGGAGTGAAGGTGCTAAGGAGCTCGTTACGCGCTCGCTAGGAAGAAAGAACACCGCCCCTAGCTTTCGCTAAGGGGCTCGCTACCTTAAGCTCGTTAATGGCGTAACAAGAGGAGAAGAGAAGGTTGCTTGAATCTGGCTGTGGGAGAATCTTCACCATTCACGTCCGAGTTTATTTCAAATCTTTTTTTATTCCATTTGGATAAAAGTTTCAAAATCGCACCCTTATCTTTTCTTAATAGTTCATTATTTGTTCGAAATATATAAATAAAATGTATGTTTTGTTGTAAAAAATTAAAACAATAAGATCTTGTTCAAATTTCAAATAAAGATCAATTTCTAGAAACTACAACTTTTAGTATTCTTTTGTTATATGAACCAAAATATATTCCATCTCACAAAGTAGATTTAGATTCCGTTATAAATTCGTTTTTTAATTAAACAATCCAAATGTGTGCAGACAATCTGTTTGTATGAGATCTTAGCTATGTGCCTTTATTTTGCCACAATTTTGGTGGGTAATGGCTAGATCATTGGTCTTGATTATATGAATGCTAAGATTTTGTGTTTTGTAGGGTTTTATATTGTAGGATTGCAAGTTTGTTGTCTCTTTTACCCATAAATTATCTTAATGAATGATCATGTGTTTATTTAAACTTGTTAATTGGTTTGTCGAATTTCAATTTCTTGGAGAATTTTAATGGAGTTTGTGAGAGAAAGCATGTAAGGTATGGTAAATGGCATGAGTATTTTTGAAGATTTGAATATGGTTTCATCTTTTTTATGGTTATTTTTTATTTATTTATTTTTTGTAACAGGGATGTTAGACTTGGAGGAGTGACGCGGTAGAGACCGCACTTTTTGTCACATAGGCAGGGGAACACCGCCCCCTATGCGGTCTTGGGTGCGGTTTGGCCGCACCTCTCCCCATTTTGGCCGTGAAATCTGATTGGTGGATTGAAAAATAACCGTTGGAAATGTCAATTTTCAATTTTTTTTTATTGTATTATTATTTTTTTAATTTATCTTTATATTTAGCTATATATAACCCATCTTTTTTTACCAAACATCACTCAAAATTTTTCATATTTACCTATATATAACCCATCTTTTTTTTTTAAATTTTTTATCTATATGTACCTATATGCTAAGTAGTTTTAAAATTTTTAGTAATTTAAACGTGTCATTTATGTTTTTTTAAGGTTGTAGGTTTAAGTTATCTAGTTTTTTTTCTAAGTTTTTAAGATTTTTTTAATGTCATGTTATGTTTTTAGTTATTTTAGTCGTTTAATGTATGTTTTTTAATGTCATGACATATTTTTTTAAGTAATGTAATGTAATGTTTTTTTAAGTAATGAAATGTTTTTATAAAAATGAAGCTTTTTTTTTTCAAAAAAAATTATTAAAAAAAATGTGGCACCACTCCTTGGGTGTGGCAAGAAACCACACTTTTGTGTTAAATGTTGATGTGGCGCTTACGTGGCAGTGTGACAAAATGAGGGAGTGTGACACCACTCCCTCCAGCCTTAGTGCGATTTTGGAGAAGAGTGAAGGAACGGGAAAACATGTTTAGGGTTGTTAAAAAGAATTCTCCTGTAATGTCTTTTTTACATGCACTATATTCAATTCTTACAAGAATGAATCTGATTCGTAAGAATAATGATCGATTTTTTTTTCAGAATTATGCTTGTAATTTTTGTTTTTTTGTTTTTTTTGTTTTTTTTGTTTTTTCCTTTTAACTATTTCATCCTTAATAGAATTTCAGTTTTTGTATGACATTAGCATGATTCCAGAATAATTTTTTAATTTTAATGTAATTTTTAGTTTAAAATCATGGTTTCTTGTATTTCATTCTCATAAGAACATTTTTTTAAAAAATATATTCATATTATTCAATGAATGTATCTTTTTTTTGGTAGATTTCATTTATTTGCAATTGATATTCTTTTAGGAATGTTTTGTTCCAAAAATAAATCATATTCTTTCAAGAATGAAAATGTATTCTGTTAACGATATGTTTTTTTCTTTTTTCAAAAATATTTATCCTAGAATGTTTATGTTTTTTTTTTTGAAAAGAAAAAAATAATAAATCAATTCCTAAAAATAGTCAAAAAAAAAAAAAAAAAAGAGTACATCAAAGAATTATTTAAAAAATAGTCAGAAAAATCCATCGACTGATAAGCACTTCGGCGGGGCAAATGTCAAGTATATAGTTCCATTTTGAAAGAGTTCACTTGGATACCATCCAGTACAGAAAATATCATTTTCAACCTCTTAGTATTACAAGCTACCAGGTTCAGTCCCTACGACTTTAAAAAAATAATAAAAATTGAAATAAGATTTTTCTTATAATTCAGTGCATTTTTCAAATAAGGTCTAAGAAATATACATCATTGTTTCCTACATTGATACTATGCATTCCGATGCCCAGTTACTCACGCATTAGTTTTTTTTTTTTTTTTTTTTTTTCTGTTCTTTATTAAACCTAAATCCGATGATATAATAAGTTATTATTTTAACAATAGAATTTAAAAAATATAATGAATGACCAAATTTGTACTTTAACGTTTAGCGTTGTGATCTATAAAAAAGGTACCTATCATTTTGTGTACAATAACTCTTATCTTATCTTCTTTTGTAAACCAATCATACACTCCGAAAGTGTTGAATAATATTCACTCTTATCGTCACTGCTTTTCTTTATGCAGCTACCGTCTTCCATTCTTGCTTTATCATACTCTTCTTTTGTTAGCCAAACAAACACTGTTATCTTTACTTTTGTGCAATTGATAGTCAGGGCCTTCGGTTTTTGGGTAATCATAAATCTTTTTTTTCATATCTAAAGAATCCAAACAATCAGAAAAGAAGCAACCTCGGTAGAATGGGAGAGGTCACTAATACTGTGGTTGGGAAAATAATGGACTTATTGTTTAGTTCGGCTAAACGGGAGATTGATTATGTCCGAAATTGCACTAAAAATGTTGACAAGTTGAAGAGTGAAACTCAAAAGCTCAAGGATATGAGGGGTAGGATTCAACAACGAATCGATGCAGCAAAAGAAAAAGGAGAAGCTCTCTTAGCTGGTGTGCAGAACTGGATGGACAAGGCAGACGATGAAATATCCAAAGTGGGAGAGTTTCTTGAAGAAGAAGCCAACGCCATGAAGACGTGCTTCAACTTACGACCTTGTGTCAATTTGAGCAGCCTCCACCATTACAGTAAGATGTCGATAAACAAAACCCCTTTTCTTCTGCAGCATCAAGAAGATGGTCAAACTTACGAATCTTGTGTCTCCATTCCCACTCCCACCCCAAAATTTGTAGACCTCTACCAAACAAAGAATCTTGATGATATTGATACCCACAAGTTGGCGTTGAGGGAAATCATTGAAGCTATCAAAGATGAGAGCATACAGATGGTTGGAATTTATGGATCAGGAGGTGTAGGGAAAACTACATTAGCCAATGAAGTTGCTGCAGAAGTGAAGAATCAATTTGCAGACATTGTGTTTATAACTGTCTCACAGACTGTAGACGTTGAAAAGATTAAGAAGAACGTTGAAGTAGCTTCAAAGCGGATAATGATTAATAAGGAGAAGGTTCTAATTATTTTAGATGACATATGGGGAAAGCTAGTCCTCTCTGATGTGGGTATTCCATGTGGGAATGACCACATGAATTGCAAGATCTTGTTGACGTCTAGAAACAGAAATGTATGTGAAGGGATGAACGTTGATAGGAATATATGCGTAAACGCTTTGAAGAAGGAAGAAGCGTGGGTACTCTTCAAACGTATAGTTGGTGATGAAAAGTTAGCGAATAATTCTAGTCTGGAGAAAGTTGCAAAAGAGGTGACTGAAGAATGTGGTGGATTGCCCCTCATCATTCAAGCGGTGGGAAATGCTTTAAAAAATAAAAAAATTGATATATGGGAGGCGGCACTTGACCGACTAAGAAAGCATGCCCCTCTTGAGATTGCTCCAGAGATAAGGAAAGCATTTACACATCTGAAGCTGAGCTATGACTTACTTGAAAGCAAAGAAGCTAAATCATGCTTCTTACTGTCTAGTTTGTTCAAGGAAGATGATATCATATATACTTTACGTTTAGTAGAATATGGGGTGGGTCTGCGGATATTTGATAATCTGGATAGCATTAACGATGCCAAAAAAAGAGTCGAAATGGCAGTTGACACTCTCACATCCTCTGGCTTGTTATTGTCGGTGGGAAACAAGGGAGACAAGGTAAAAATGCATGACGTTGTCCGTGAGGTGGCTTTGTTAATAACTTCTTTTTCTGAAGGTGAAGAGAAGGAGAAGTTTTTAGTGGAGGCGGGAAAAGATTTGACAGAATGGCAACCAAGAAACAAAACCTTAGAAAGCTACACCAAGATCTCACTCATTGATAATCGAATTGGTAAGCTTCCAGATCATCAGCTTCATTTCCCACTCCTTGATACTTTCCTTATACGGAACAATGGTCTTTCGATTATTCCTGATGAATTCTTTGGAGGCATGAAAGAAGTTAAAGTTTTAGATATCTCTGGTAATAACATCACATCCCTCCCACAATCACTGAAGCTGCTCACAAAACTCATCTCGCTCGATCTAAGTGGCAATGGATCTCTCAATGATATTTCTATAGTTGGGGAGCTAAAGGACCTGGAGATTCTACAGGTTAGAGCGACCAGAATTGAAGTGATTCCTGAAGAGATCGGTCAATTGACCAACTTAAGGCTGTTGGATGCGCGCCACTGTCCCTATCTATCTCATGTAACACCTGGTGTCATATCAAAGCTCACTTGGTTGGAAGAGTTGTATTTTGGAACCTTTATCAATGACAAGAACGCAGTGTCTCGCTTTGGTCTTATGGAAATAAGTAAGTTGAAATCCTTTAGAGCTCTGCATTTATGGATGGTCCCAGATGATTGTCATATTTTTCCGGAAGGCACCTACTTCGAAAAGTTGAAAGAATTCTATTTTCGATTTTGGAACGGCAAAAGGTCTTTATTTGAGATAGAATCAAAATCATATTTAAAACGTCGACTACACATTTCAGAGTCTAACTTCCCGTTCAAGATGCCAATCAAGAAACTGTTTCAGGTAAGTGATGGTATAGTACTACGGAGGATAAACGATTTGGATGACATCATACCAGACCTTTATGGAGAAAGTACTATTGATGAATTAAAGTCTATTGAATTGGAGGAATGTGACAAAGTTTCATGCTTGGTGAAGAGAACGGATGAGGATGAGGATGCAACACAAACTTTTGTTGCACCCAATGACCTGATGCTTGGTCAAAGGAAAACAACAAAGGAAAAGTATTTCTCCCACGTGGAAAAAATCTGTCTGATTGGCCTTGATAACCTGAAGCTTCTTTTTGATTGTTCATTTCAATATATAAGCTTGTGTAATCTACAAGTCATTCAAATTTTTGGTTGTCCTTCCTTGTTGATGGTATTCCCGTTAAGTGTAGCACAAGGACTTTCCAATCTGAGACGTATATCAATTCGGGGGTGTAAAAGTATGATGGTAGTGATTTCTGGTGGAGATGAGCAAACAACTCATAATGACATTGAGTTCCCTAGACTTACCCATATTTCCCTTATGGATTTGCCCCAACTAAAGAGCTTCGACTCTGGGGATTCTACAGTCAGATATCCTTCTTTGGAGTTTATCAAGGTGAGAAATTGTGGTACCATGAAGAGATGGGGTTCCGGAGACCACGATATGCCCAACATCAAATTTGGTGATGATGAAGAGATCCTTAAGTTGTTCCATTCATGATCTTTTCAGCAAGTACATGTACCATGAGAGGTATGAGAAGACGGGTATATATATGAAAAGATGAGTAATATACAGCCAAGGAGACGGAGACCAATTTATATGTTTCAAAGACTCATCTTTCTTCTTTTTCCCCCTCAAGATTTCATGCTCTACCGAAGATTAACACAAAATCAAGGTTTATTGTATAGTTTAGGAGCTACGTTGAAACAACCATAGAATCCAGGTTTATTGTAGTTTTGATGCTTCCAAATTTAAAATTATGGCTCCAACAACCAACAGTGTTCAAAGAGTGAATTACTTGAAGAATATTTAGAATTAATTGCAAAAAAACAGAGTGGTTCTATGTCATCATCTTCCTCTTCTTCTCCATCAGCAATCTCATCTTCCCAACTCCCAAGTCTCATCATCATCATCCTCATCCTCATCCTGTCATCCATGTCTACTATAGATGTGAAGCTTTTCCTCAAAGATTTTATATTGAATTCTTATGGCTCGCTCAATTTGGTTACAATAGAGAGAAGCACAGAGGAGACAGCATATGCTCTTTAGCTTTTTTTCCTCATAATATCGCCATGGCAATTCATCAAAAAATTGGTAAGCATCAACATTTTATCATTTGCCTATTAGCACCTTTCCCAATTCATAACGGACATGATTCTAAACATTGATCAAATTTCAATGCACCTGAGTGAGAGACTTGGTAGTCGGCGTAGGGGTTTTTCATCAAATTCCAGTAAAATATCTTCAAATTGAACTACCACAAAACCCTATAAAATCTCCCTTTTTAAAAATCAGCAAACAAATTTGATATTTCTTCGACTTTGTCAAATATAGGGCTTCATTTCTTTTTGATTGTCTCGGATTGTCTTTCTCATCCCAACTTCATCAACGACACTGTTTCTCCTTTCAATCGTCTCTAAATAACATAAAGAATTATAAGTACCACCTTTATGAATTATGATTATAAAGATTGATTATTTATTTTTGTAATTGGGTGTGGGATGAGAGTTAGCCACTTTTTGATTCTAAAGATTGTTTGTTGTAGGATATGACTTTAGGTGTTCTGAAAATGAGTGAATTGAAAGTTTTTACAAACCGCAAATTGCGATACAACCCAAATATTGTAATTTACCCAGGTGCTCTATCTTTCTACTACTCTATTGTATTTTTTTTGTCTCAAGTTTTTTTGTGTGTATAATAAATCATGTGTTTATCTGATTTGAGTTAATAATTTACTCAACCCTAACTAGACAACGACTATCTTTTGGATTTTAGTCATGGTATGGGTTTCTTGATCCCCTTAACTATTCTCCTTTTGGTTCGGTTCTGACTAACCTTTATTTCTCTTTCAATCTGACAGAAAGTCCAAAGTGAAATCAATGATTTGAGTGGTGAGGATTTGAAGTATGTTGTCTTACTTATTTTATATCTTTGTTAATTGAAATTCATCCATTTAATGTCCTTTTTGTACCATTTTTTCTTTTTGTAAGAAAGTGGGTTAGGAGTATGCAAATATGATGGGACTAGCGAGCTAAGGGTGTTGGTTTAGATGAGAAATATAGGTAGATACCAAACATGTTGATAAATGGAACATTAAGTAGAAATTGATACACAAAAAGTTAGGAAATTGTTAAAGGAAATTATGGATGTTAGCATATTATTGTATCCATTTTGAAAGTTTCTTTAATGTGCAGACAATGGTCAAGAAAAGACAAATGAAGACATCTGAGGCTACACAGCTACACAAGTTGGATCAAATGATCAATTGATATTGGTGGATATTATGAAAAAGCAGTCAAGAGTATTTCGGCTGGCCATAACCTAACCCAAAAAAAATCCAAACCTTAACCGCAAAAACTGATTAACTGGTACCAGACCGGTGTCTCTTTTCTTCGGTCTTTGTAAATTGAAGTTTTAATATGTGATTACCTAGACTTGTGTATTCATTTTTTATGAAGAAACTTCTGCATACATAATCTAAGTTAGGGATTTTCTCCTATAAGTTACAAGTTACAAGTATAATGCTCGTGTCGAATACATTATCAAAATTTTGTATTGTTTGTGTCATATATCTCTTATTACTTAAAGTAACAACTAATTCCTCATTTCAGTTAATATTTAATTGAAAAATATCGTTTTAAAAATTCTTAGTTGCTTCTTCTCATATAATATTTCTTTTTACTATTTGGAATGGTAAAATCGGATAAAGAATTGAATTGGTTATTCCAGTGGAATAAAAAGAATTGTTTGTTTTTTCCTGGTCGAATGGAATAGATCATTCATGAAGGACTCGAATTTCTTCATTTTTCTTAATTTTCATACCTTAAGTGGGAGGTGTTTCTTTTTTTCATTTTCATCATAGAATGAAGTTGGAATTTGTAAGATAAGCCATTTTTATTTATATTTTTATTTATGAGAAATATTTTAAAATTTTCATGATTTTGATTGATAACAAAAAATGAAAGTACAATGTTATTTCATGTATCTTTTTAAATTCTTTGGCTGTTGAACAACAACACAGGTGACCAAACATTTATTTATTTAAATGTTAACTTCTTAATCTTTCTGTTCCAGGAAAAAGAATTGTCCAAAATAGGATGTTATTAGCCGTCTAAAGTAGGATGCTAAACTAAACAAAGAAATTTAAGATTTTCCTTATCGTTTTTTTTTTTTTTTTTTTTTTTTTGTATTATAGATCTCACTTTATTTGTTTTCCTATTTGCAAGATTGTACATTTGTTTTTTTTTATTATTATTAAGGTATTGTAGTTTGAAAAAACCTACCAAATTAGGATATTAAACTTTTAAAATGTTTACCCATTTAAAGTAGTACAAATTGCTTTGTATTTCAATGACATTCTTATAATTGATTAGATTTAATGTTATAATACACAAATACATGGACATGTCTTGCTGTTTCTTGCATTTCACCGATCTAAAAACTTCCAATTACAAGAAATAATAATGTACTTCAATTTATTTGTGTATTTTGGCATCCTACTTTCAATTAATTCGTCAATTAAGGTTCGATGTTTTCCCATCAATAGGGATTTTCTTTGTCATAATGTAGAGACAAGTACACATAATCTTCTTCCTATTATTGTAATCATTTAAAGAGTATATAAGCACAATGTTGTAATAGAAAGAAACAAAAGTAGATTGCTATAATAACAATTGAAGGAGAAATTGGGTGTGGTGTTCATGCTTTCCGACGAGGTTCCAGTCACCAAGGGTTGCTTTGGTGTTGCTAAGCACCTTTGATTTTGTTATGACTAATCGGGGGTAGAACCGGCTATGGCCATTGATAGTTGGAGAGGGGAATTCGATTGAGAAATAATGGGTATGCTTAAAGATTTTGGAGGTTTTCTTGAATGAAACTGTGTAGCATTTGGTGAGACTAATAAAATAGCTTGTAAATTGGATTTTAAAAATACTATTTGAGATTGTTTATTGATAAGCTCATGTAGCTTTTTTCACATAATTTCCAAATATACCCTTATATATTATTTAATATAAACTTAAAAATCATAATCAATCTTGTAAATGCGAGACAAAAAAATTGATGAAGGGTTTGGGAATTCTACAAATATTATAAATCTTCTTTCGAGTATGGGAAAAAAATTCTAGTATTATTTTATATTCTGTTAAATGTGACTTGGGCATTTGGAGATTCTTATGGAGCATTTGGGTTCAATGGAACACTTGGAACTCAATGGGACACTTTGAATTTAATGAAGCATCTGAGAAAGGAAAGGATCATCTGAGAAGGGAATGGAATAGATCATTCATGAAGGACTCGAATTTCTTAATTTTTCTTAATTTTCATACCTTAGGTGGTGGGTGTTTCTTTTTTCATTTTCATCATAGAATGCAATTGGAATTTGTAAGATAAGGCATTTTATTTATAAGTTTATTTTATGAGAAATATTTTAAAATTTTCATGATTTTGATTGATAACAAAAAATGAAAGTACAATGTTATTTCATGTATCTTTTTAAATTCTTTGGCTGTTAAACAACAACACAGGTGACCAAACAGTTCTTTATTTAAATGTTAACGTCTTAATCTTTTTGTCCCAGGAAAAAGAATTGTAACGACCCAAAAATTCAGGGTAAAATTTTCGTTTTTAATATAGTCAGAACATAAATATTGGTTATTTCAAACATCCACAACAATGCTAATGAAATCATTTATCAGAGTTCGTCCCAAAATCATTCATTACGGAATTCATAGGTGTGTGCACTGCGATCAGTCCGAGCCCTTCTTTTCCAAATCGAAGATACCTGAAACCAAAACTGTAAACCGTAAGCACGAAGTTAGTGAGTCCCCCAGAGCATACCCCACACTCAATCCACATAACATATATTGTATTAGCTGTAATAGTTATCTCTACCGCATAATACAGAGCAAGTGGCTATAACAGCTACCTCTACCACATACCGCGTATCATTTAGCTATAAAAGCTATCTCTACCATTATCACATATCAATCAGCTATAAAAGCTACTTCTACCACATATCACATATCAAATAGCTATAAAAGCTATCTCTACCATTAACACATATCAATTAGCTATACAAGATATCTCTACCGTTAGCCACAAAGGCTATCTCTACCATCAGCCATAAAGGTTGTCTCTACCATTAGCCAGAAGGCTATCTCTACCACTAGCCGGAAGGCTATCTCTACCGTTAGCCACAAAGGCTATCTCTACCGCATATCATGCATACATACATATCACACACCTCTACATAGCAAGTATACCAACTATCATAAAATGGGCAGGCCTTGGTGCCTTAGAGCCATTGGTATGGTGAGAAGACTCACCTCTCGAATGCTGAACTGATAAGCTGAAATCAAACATATCCCACACGCTGCTCCTTCTCAACTGCCCATAATCATCAGGTGATTAATTTGACACAAACCCATAAATACCCTCAGGTCAACCCCGGACAAAGTCATGGTCCACCGTCAAGGTCAACAGTCCATGTTGACCTCAAC